CTTTGATCCAAACCTCCCTTTTCATCTATCTCCATATCACCTATTCTATTTTCAAGAGATTATCTTTCTATCTCTTATGCCCATATTGCCACATATTATCATCTTTTAGGAGTTCCTTAATGCGTCTTATCTCTTGGGCGAAAGCCCCTAATCATAGTTGTCTCAAAATTTTGAGAGATCTTGTGTAAGAAGTTGGAGTAAGTTTTTGAAATTATTTTAATGAGTATCATTCAATCATAAATTAATCGTGAAAAATTGTGAGGCCCTATGTTGTCGGTCTCCTTGCACTCCCTCAATGACGGCCTTGTCCCTGATATATACTCTTTAAAGATTTCCTCTAGAGCTTAAATGGAATGGTGTTTGCGTGTGCCTTGACTTGTGTCGAATCCCACACCTGCCAAATAATCTCTTCACATCAGCTATCTCTTGTTCACACCTCTTCAAACCCTAAAAGGTGAATCCTCTTCTTTTTCCAACTAACTGTAAAAGCTTCTAAAACAATATTCAGAGTTACATGATTCAAACCAAATAAGAGAAGATGAAGGACCTTAATTGGAGAAAATCAATTTAAGAAATCCACAGATCGCATAACATTTATTAACATAAATTTAATAGAGACTTTTTCCATCAAATTAATAATAATTGTTTTTGGGATAAATATAACACATTACTCTAAATTAAATTAAGGGTTAAATAATTTTTTCTCCCTCTAAATATGACCAATTTAACATTTAGTCCCTCTATCTTTTTTTTCAAAGAATAATTCTCCTAATATTTTTTCCACACTTTTGGTCCCTTATGCTAACGGCCGTTAACAGAAGCTGACGTGGCATGTCACATGAACGTTTTTTTTTTTAAAAAGACATATATATGGCAGTGTCAGCGTGACAAAATACTGACGTGACATACCACATGACTAAAGCCAATATTGTTCATGAATTCAGAAAAGTTTGTAGCTAATCGATAGCTAAAATCGTAGCTAATGTGTAACATCTTTGATTTAATCCGATAAGTACAAACTCACTTGATGGTGTACTTTGTTTCCATTGTTTTGAGGGTGTATTTGTGAATATCTTCGTTCAAGGGTGTACTTTGTTTCCATTGTTTTGAGGGTTATGTTTGTTACCTTTCATTTTGTTGAAAATTTAAGAGTAGGAGCATCAAATTCACAAGGTTCTCACTTTCTCCCTTAATAGAAGTCTTGACATAATGTATAATAGGATTTTGTATTCTGTGTTCCTAACTGGTTCAAGCATATATGCTGATTTTATCGCGTCACTGCAAAAGTTGTAATTAAAAATAACTTCTGGTGAGAATCTTCATATGTCTTATGTTTTCATTTCAACAACTTATTTTTGTAGTTTGTTCCTTTATTTGCTTATGGTTTGATTTGGCTGTTTATTTCCTTCTCTTTGAACAGGCAAGAGGCATATTACTAGTGGAAAACATTGCTCAACACATACATAAAAAAGTTTGTTCCAGAATTGCCATCTTTTACACAGAACTTTGTTGGGACTAAACTGTTATTTTTCATGGGTTTTGTTCCAAAGGACTATTGTTTTATAACTTGTCAAGAAATTGATTTGATATGCTTTTCATAAAGGCTTGGAACTTCGCATCACAACACAGGTTAGAATTAAGAGAAATCCAATAAAGGCTGAAGATGAAATTATGATTTCTAGATCAATGACCAAAAATAGAGCACTTCAAATGCATGAACTAATATTGGACAAACTGTTAGAGCAGAGAAGGAGTATGAAGCACACAAAAAAGTTATTATTTATTTGTTGTTTGAGAGAGTGATTCATGTGGTTTCTATGTCTAGTTTAATTTATCAGAATGAATTTGCTGCGATTGAAAATTGAGATAGTGACGGAGAATCGTATTATTTAATTTCAATAAAAGATTCTGAGTTTGATCACTGTAAGCATCTACAATGCTTAGCATTTACTTGTTTTCACATAACATTCTCTTTTGATAAAATAATAAAACAAATGGTTGCTTTGCTTAGCTTAAAGAATTAAAAACAAGACAAAATTACATCACATTTAAACTTCAAACTAAGCATTATATATAAAAAGATATGGTGCATATGCAAATACATATACATAATACTAAAACTAAGCATTATATATAAGAATTTTTGGCTTCGGCCAATCGCAGACGGCCCAATTAATATTCCTCCCTGTATTTAAACATTTTTACAAATAGTTTCTAACCAAATATAATTAAAATCTCTTATATTCAATATATTTCAATAATCCGAATGCGAAAACTTACAATGATTTCTGGGATGATTTGATGTTGTTTGAGGGGTTTGCAAATGAATGTAATAAACCTAGTGAATGTAACAATCACACATATTTAAGTGGAGGCAAACATGGAGTAAAAAAATCTTTCAACAACATCTTTAACACATAAAATAGGTTGTTCAAGATTTTCAATATCATAATCAATAACAACCGAGTTTGTAATCATATCTCCAAGTTTTTGAGTATATGCAACCTAAGGATTTTAGCTACATTCAGGACGATTTTTTCTGGGTTCATGAACAATATTGTCCTTAGCTATGTGGTATGACATCTTGCCATGTTGACACTCTCATGTGTATGTTCAGTCACAAAAAAAACTTTCACATCATATCAATTTCTGTTAACGGCCATTAATAAGAAGGACCATAAGTGTGGATAAAAATAAAATTGATTATATTTAAAAAGATCAAAAACTTATTTAACTTTTTAATTTAAATTGAAAGTGAAATTTAGGTATTGAAAAAATAATTATGAATAAATTATTCCTCATATAATATTACAGTTTATTTTCAAATATTTTGCGTGCTTATATATATATATATATATATATATATATATATATATATATATATATATATATATATATATATATATATATATATATATATATATATATATATATATATATATATATATATATATAAAAGCTTAAATACACTTTTGATGCGGTAAGATAACGAGTTTATATATATATATATATATATATATATATATATATATATATATATATATATATATATATATATATATATATATAAAGCTTAAATACACTTTTGATGCGGTAAGATAACGAGTTTATATATATATATATATATATATATATATATATATATATATATATATATATATATATATATATATATATATATATATATATATATATATATATATATATATATATATATATATATATATATATATATATATATATATATGACTAAATGTACTTTTGGTGCGGTAAGTTAAGGAGTTTTTGATTTTTATCCATGTAATTTTTTATGTTTGAGTCCTTATATTTCAGCGTTTTAGTCATAAAGGCAAAATCCGCAAGAAATTTGAGGATTTTTATGTGGATTTTGGTTTTAATGACTATAATGCACATGCAAAAAATGAGATACAGGGACTCAGAGAAAAAAATTACAAAAACAAAATCAAAAACTCGCTAATTTATCAGGACCAATAGACTATTTAAGAAATACATATCATATGATAATTTCATTTTTATGTGAGAACTTGAGAATGAATCTAAATCATTAGATTTTAAAATAAATGTTGAAAATTATTTGAGTTTTTTTTTCTCTCCTCTATTATTTATGTTAATAATGGAGGATAGAGAAAAACAAAAATTACAAATAATCTCTATCATTTATTTTAAAATCTAATAAATCAGATTTATTATTACGTTTTAACATTTATATATATAAAAGTGACAAGATAATCTAAAGTTAAGAGATAGTACATCCTTTGGTTATTTCTTGAAAATTAACTAGAGCAAATTTCCAATTTAAGTCAAGATATTTGATTTATTTTCTAAAGAATTTCACTACCGATACATTTTTCTTTTAACCCTAAATTTAAGAAATTGTAGATAGATGGGACCAGAGCAATCATTTTTAATTGTAAACTTCAACAAGCAAACACACCTTTGAAAAGTTGGATATATTTGGTCCCTATTATTTGGCTAAATATTAAAAATGTGTGGTCACATTTAGAAGCAGTTGTCACTGTTCTTAATGTGTAAAGACTTGTTAGATGCTGACATGCCATACTTTGGCCATTAGATCCAATAGTCCATAATGAAGCAGCACAACAAAATAAATATGAAAATAATTAAGACCTTTCATCTACTACTTCATTATATAGTATTTGACCTTTTCTCAATCTCATCTCTAATTATATCTAACGGTTAAATCAACTCAAATAATGTGCGGATTCTGTCTCACTTATTCATATTTAAAAAAAAATGAAGTTTATGTAATTAGATTTTAATTCCAATCCATAATAATGTTAATTTAATATCAAATTTAATGGTGAAAATTGGACTTTACTTTTGTAAAGTGTGTAATCTTTCTACTAATCTCTCAAATGGGTGGATGAGTCATGACATGAGTCATCCTTTGTGTTGTGGCCCCCTACACTTTGTTGCTACCTTGTCTTTTTCTTTCTCTAGTGTTTTTACTTTATGTTCTAAATTCTAATTTACCTTATATTAATCTATTCTTCAACACTCTTTCTATTCCTTCTATGTTTGTGTCATACTTGGAAAGATCCTATTCTTCTTTCTCAATATGGGGTGTTTAATGATTCCTTGTTCCTTTTTTGTTCTTCTTCCTAAAGTTTGTAACAACATGTGAAGTTTTGTAGTTGTTGAGTGTACACATGTTTGTTTGTTTGTTATATGTTATTGTCTGCTATAAAATGAAATGACCATTTGGATCACCTTGATTGGTTAAAGATTCTTAAGGGATTTTCAGCTAGAATATAAATAAAATCTAGCAAGGGATTGTTGTATTCATGATTTGATTGAATATTTTGGTATCTAGGTTTGAGAGTTTTTTTTGCTAATATAAAAAAGAGAACTTTTTTTAATAGTTTTCTAGGTACCCTTTTTTGAGAAAGAGTTTTGGATCAATATAGATATGTTTCCTTTTCTCTAGCATTTAGTATTATTGTTTATAGTGAAAAGATATGAAGAATATTCTTAAGAAGTTTCAGATAATGTCTAAGAAATCAGAAAATGAACAAGGGTTTTCTTCATTTTCATCTTCTAAGAAGCTTAATAGGAAGAGTCATAGCTCTACATCTTTGAACCAAGAAAAATTTGAGAGGATGGAACCATCTGAGACAGTGAGAGCTGTTGATTTGAGCGTTGTTTCGGATTCGGGTAGGCACGATTCGGGTTTTGGTGCAAAGGCTTCCGGGGATCCTGAAGTAGAGGAAGAGTATCAATTGCAACTGGCTTTAGAGATGAGTGCAAAAGAGGATCCTGAGGCTGTGCAGATTGAAGCTGTTAAGCAGATTAGTTTGGGGTCTTGTGATCCGGATAATACACCAGCTGAAATTGTGGCATACAGATATTGGGTGAGTCTCTTTGCTCATTTTGAGTATATTGACACCAAACACGATATTGACACACAGTAACACCTGTAGTAACTTAAGTAAATAATATAATAATTGCACGAAGCTATATGTATTGTGCCGTGCTGATGTTCTACACTGACATATGTTAGACACCAGACATAACTTTAATATGAAGAAGTGTTAGATCAATGCTATAATTATGGTTTTCTATAGATTGAAGTGATTAGGATTTAGGATTCATTGGATAGCTGTGATTTATGATTTGGATTGTTTTAGATTGCCATTATAGCATAAAGTTTTGAAACAAAGTGAACCTATTCCCATAGTTTCTTGGTTTACTTGACTCTAATTTGTCCTACATTTATAAAGCTTTCTAACTTATCTCATGTCGTAGATTTATCCGTTCTTCACAGAATTACAATGCTCTTGGTTACGACGATACAGTCATGGATGGATTCTATGATCTGTATGGGATCTTAACCGAGTCAAACGCAGCGAGAATGCCTTCCCTTATAGATCTTCAAGGAAGACCAATCTCAGGTAATGTCACATGGGAAGCTGTCTTAGTCAATAGGGCTGCTGATTCTAATTTGTTGAAACTTGAGCAGAAAGCACTCGAGCTGACCGTCGAATCGAGACGTGATTCTGAAGTAGTTATAGATACGGATTTGGTTCACACGCTTGCAGTATTTGTGTCTGACTATATGGGTGGACCAGTTGGAAATCCTGAAAGCTTGTCAAAAGCATGGAGAAGTCTTAGTTATAGTCTGAAAACAACTCTTGGTAGCATGGTTTTGCCACTTGGTTCTTTGACTATTGGATTAGCACGGCATCGAGCATTGTTATTTAAGGTAATTAGTCCACCATTGTTAGATCATATCGAAAGAAAGATTGCGACAACTATTACCAATCATGCAATGAAATTTACCACTTTATCCTAAATGCAGGTTCTAGCTGATAGATTGAGTATTCCGTCGCGGTTGGTGAAAGGACAGCAATATACAGATTCTGATGATGCGGCAATAAACTTTGTCAAGATTGATCGAAGGTAAACAGATTTTGAAGTTTTGGTTTTGTTGTAATGTTTTGATCGTGGTAAATAGAGTTTTGTTTAATTTCCACAACCCAACAACAGTACTATAGTGCCGCTATTTGACAACATTTTGTACTAAATAGCATATCGCGGAGCTATAGTGCTTTGTTTAAGTTCCGCTATGTTATAGCGCTATAAGACATGTTTTGAAATAAATTTCAGGGAGTATATTGTTGATCTAATGGCAGATCCGGGAACTCTTATTCCATCCGACGCTAATGGATCGCATATTGTGTATGATGAATCCGTTTTTGTAGCAAGCCCTTCATCAAGAGACGTCGATTCGTCTCGTGTAGCATCATCTAGCAGTGGAGTAGGAAGTTCATCTGAAGAAACTTCTGATGTTGGAATGTCAGGCAACGGAAACAGATCAAAACATCACCATGTTAAAAAGGTTAATTCATATGTGCATACAAGATCATCTTCTTGGAGTGAAGGGATTGGTTCCTCTGTCGTAAATCGAATGAAAGCCAAAAACGTTTCACAATTTATGATCGACACTGCCAAGGAAAATCCTCACTTAGCTAAAAAACTTCACGATGTTTTACTCCAAAGTGGTATTGTTCCTCCTCCAAATTTATTTTCCGACATTTATCACAAAGAATCTGTTTTCTCAACCAAAGTAGAAGATGAACATAAACAAAGAAGTGAACATCAAGAAATGGTATTCGATGATAGTCTCGGCCATGCTAGGTTTAAGCCCGTAGAAGGTTTAGGAACCAATCTTCCTCTTCATACAAGAGAAGGTGTTGGAAAATTTATACCAACTCAGGTAAAATATGGGAAAAAGGTGCCAGCTGCTGCTGCAGCTGCCGCAGCAGCTGCGGTTGTTGCATCCTCTATGGTAGTTGCTGTGGCAAGGTCAAACACTGACTCCAACATTGAGCTTTCAGTCTCAGCAGCTGCTACTGCTGCAGCTGTAGTAGCAACTACTGCTGCAGTTAGCAAGTACGAGCACAGCAGTCGAAGTGATGCGGATACCGAAAGTTCTGGAACGAATTTGGAAGGCGAGAGAAGATCTGGTAGCTCAGTTGTAAGTAATGGCAGTACAAAATCTGATTGTTCTTTAGACGAAGTTGCTGAGTATGAAATTCCATGGGAGGAAATCACACTCGGTGAACGTATTGGACTTGGTATACACTTTATTTTTCTCTAAGTTTTTTTAACATTCTTATGGTGCTATTTGTTTGGTTTACACTTGAAGACTTGATTGCATTTGGGTGGCACACATTTGTCATGCAGGATCTTACGGGGAGGTGTATCGCGGGGAATGGCGAGGAACCGTAAGTTTCTTACATTTTTGAACATCATCAATTGTATTATTCTCATCAAAGAATATGTTATACATCTTTGTTATATTTTTGAACATTAATAGCATAATTTGATCTTTGGTTTGTAGGAAGTTGCTGTAAAAAGGTTTTTAAATCAAGATATATCTGGTGAAGCACTTGAAGAATTCATTAGTGAGGTACTAGTCACATTTCCTTCCTAATAGATCAGAATAATGAAAAACCTATGATATTATTTTTATTTATATACCAGAAAACTTATGGTATTAAACTGCAAATAGGTCAGAATAATGAAAAGATTGAGGCATCCAAATGTGGTTCTCTTCATGGGAGCTGTAATTCGACCTCCAAATCTTTCAATCGTTACTGAATTTCTACCAAGGTAACTTGAAATTCTTTGTTTCCAAGAGTTTCATACAGTTTTTCTTTTTAATTTTTTATTCTTGGAATGCTGAGATGTGCATCGTGTTATGCAGAGGAAGTTTGTATAGATTAATTCATCGGCCAAACAATCAATTAGATGAACGAAGGCGTTTGAGAATGGCTCTAGATACTGTAAGATTCTATTGTCTTTCAATGCACTGTTGCTGAATTTCAGAACATTATCACTATAAAAGCTGAATCTCTTTGTTGATGTATCCTTTTGCTTTTGAATATTCAGGCTCGAGGAATGAACTATTTGCACAACTGCAGTCCAGTGATAGTACATCGCGATTTGAAGTCTCCAAATCTTCTTGTTGATAAAAATTGGGTTGTAAAGGTAATCTAATCGTATAATAGTGTTCTTTAATGTATTGACATGAATCATGATGATGACTTTTATTTTGTCGGTTGAATAGGTCTGTGATTTTGGCTTATCACGTATGAAGCATAGCACATTCCTTTCTTCCAGATCAACTGCAGGCACGGTAAGTTATTGTAATCTCTGTCCATTTCGACTCGTTTATTCTTTCATCGTCTTGCTTTCTTGGTTACACGTGTATATGCTCAGTTTTTTCATTATCATCTTATGTATTTGCATAGGCGAACAAAAGCTTACTTTGTTTTGTATATAATGTTTTAGGCCGAGTGGATGGCTCCTGAAATGTTGAGAAACGAACCGTCAAATGAAAAGTAAGACCCGTCGGTGCTCATTGACTTAACTTCTTTTTAAATATTTCTTGGTTTTGTGATGCTAACAAGCGATGATGCATTATCCAGGTGTGATGTCTATAGCTTTGGGGTCATATTATGGGAGCTATCTACTTTGCAGCAGCCTTGGAGAGGAATGAATTCCATGCAAGTTGTTGGTGCCGTGGGTTTCCAATATCGCCGCCTTGACATTCCAGACGACATGGATCCTGCCATTGCAGATATTGTCAGAAAATGCTGGCAGACGTGAGTATACTTCACAATCATAGTGCTCCATATAAATGTCTTCATTGAGATCACCATGGCCGAAAACGTTCTTAATATTGACGTTTTAAAAACCGAACCAGAAATTGAAGAGGCGAGACCTCCAAATCATATTTCAATTGCTATGCATCTTTTACTGTCTGATTCGGTTTTTAAAAGGCGCATCTGTGTATAAGTTTACATGGTAAAACAGTTGCAAACATGGTATTCTATGTTTTTTTATTAGATATTACTCTTTTTGTATTGTAGAGATCCAAAAGCAAGACCTACATTTGCTGAGATATTGGCAGCTCTAAAGCCGTTACAGAAGCCAATTGCCGGTTCTCAAGTGCCTCGACCGACTGTCTCTGGCAGGCACAGGAAGGATCAATCATCAGCTGCGGAAAGATAGGAAACAATCACACAACTAACTAAATCTTTGTTCATTTTGCTACTAAAGAAATGGAGAACTTTGATGTACAGTACTTCTATAAAATGAAAAAAATGTGTGTTTTTCTGTTCTTTTCAGTCCACTTTTGCTGCTTTTCTTTTCCTTTTTCTTTCTTTGTTTCTGTGTTTTGTTGGTTTTACTTTCTTCTGTAAATGTTGTAATCAACTCTAAACTTTGATGTCCATAACTAGTTGTGAAATTTTGTAGATGTAACTTGAACAACTATAGTATAAAAACAAACATTTACATTTTAACTTCAATTCATCCCATACAAATTGCCATTAGCTTCCAGTATTAAAGAAAAGCCCAAAGTAAAAACGAATTATACATAGAGATGTTGGAAATACAATTTAATAGTATTTACATATTTCGGTAAAACCAAAAAGTGTAATTGTTATTTTTTTGATAAGTTTAAGTTAATCAATTCTAACAAACTTTCGAAAACAGTTAGACTATTTTTGGTTGTACTCTAATAAGTCAGCAGTTTAGAAGTAGTGTGTGTTAGAGCTTGGTACTCTGCATCAGTGTTGGATCTAGCCATAAGGAATTGTGTCTTTGAACTTCAAGAAATTAGGTTAGGGCTAAAGTAATCACATGAGCTTGATGTTGATCTTCTGTCATCAGGGTTATTTGTCCAATCAAAATTGCTATAGGCTTGTAAAGAGAATTTCTGAAGTGGATTTGCAGGTGAAAGGATTAGAACATGTGTAGCAGTATCACTTGAGTATCTTAGAATCCTTTTGACCACAATGCAATACCAATGGATTGGCCATAGATATCGTAGAGTTTCAACTAAAAGGTGTTTGTGGTTCAAGAACTGAAGTCAACTATATTAATGATTCAGTCCAGTTCTTACAAACCATTTTAATAAAAAGTAATTAATATGTTAAACAAGTTACAATTCGATTTAAAACCATTTTAAAACCGATTCATAATTTAAAATCAATTTAATTTATTTTAACTAGTTTAAAACAATTTTTTTAAACATTGATTTGCTTTAAAAAAAATTTTAAAAAAAATTATTGTGATTAAAAATTGGATTTGTTTTAAAGTATTTATTGATGATTTTGAATTTAAATAAAAATATCAATTATATGTAAAAATCAACTTATCTTTAATGAAATTGCACATACAAGATCGAAATAGAGAAAATGCTACTGTTGTTACTCCTTGTGACGAGTGAAGTTGTAGCTAACGTTGTAGTCAAAAGCAAAGTGAAATCGAAATTAAGACAGTTAAAATGAGGAAGTTGAAATTGAAACCGAGTGAAAACGAAAGCAATGTGAAATTAAAATTGAAATCGAGTGAAATCGAAATCGAATGAAAAGGAATACAAAGTAAAGTTGAAATTGAAATTGAAGATGAATGTAAATTTTAGAGAATGGTGTTTTGTGAAATCGATATGAGATTCTAGAATTTACTTCACATGATTTGGGAAAGAATTTTTCTTAACCGTAAGATAATGTGAAAAAAGTTATATTAAACTGTAACTAAAAATAATTGAGAAATATTAAAATATTATAATTAAAATATTTATGCTTTTAATATAATGGTTTATAAAATTTATTGAAATTGTTAAATAGAAGTATTTAAGTTTTTGATAAAATGGTAGAAAAGTTTATAACAATTCAAACTGTTTTTAAAATTCAATTAAATTAATTGAATTAGTTAAAATAAATAATTCAATTTAATAATCATTTAAATGGTTTAAGTTTTTTATAGTTCAATCCAATTCAGATTAAATATTTAGTTCGGTTAACCAAACTTTTGAACACCTCTAATCTCAACTATTGACATGTACAACGAATGATCAAACATTGTATCAGTTCATGCTAGCTCAATTTGCAATGAATGAACATAAGAGTATCGACAACATTGACATCAACCATGTTAACTTAGGATTGAAGATCTTTTATATATTTAGTTTGTGTCAGGTGCATAGAACCATTTGACTATTCCTAACTTTTTCAAAGCAAACTTGTCGTGAAATTTAGTGATCAAGTCATGAATCAACTTGCAAGATGTATCAGTTAGCATTAGCATGATGTCACCAACAGAAAATAGTGCATATAATGTAATATTTTGATGCTTGTAGACAAGTGAATGATCACACTTTCTAGATGAGAAGTCAAATTGAAGTAGAGTTTGATAGAACTTCTCATACCATGGCCATGAGGCTTGCCTCAGGATATATAGTGATTTCTTTAACTTGAACACCAGAACTAAGTTAGATATGATAAATCCAAGTGGATTTTGTATATTGATCAGTGCATTTAGCACTTTTCTTTATGTTTAGACTTAGATATTTTTATAATTTAGTTTGTCTAATTTTCTATTTTATGATGTTTTTACAATTTAACTTTTATTAAGGTTTATTTGATTTTCGTTTGTTATTTTTCAGTATTAGCGGTTTTTCATAAAAAATTCATAACTGGAGCTACAGTAAACGGATCGAGGCGTTCTACCAGTCGTTGGAAAGCTAAGGAAAATACCTACAACTTTCATGCTGCACGGAGAAGCTGATTCGGATTTCTTGAGTCTCGAATAATTCGTTGAAGTTTCTAACTTGTGATAATGTAGTTGTTTTTCCCTTTTTGGGTCTGGTTTAGGTTTCCGACCGAGTTGAGTGTGTAATGCAAACCTTATTCTGTTTATAAGGTTGCTGCTGTGATAACGGCTACCCTAGTTTTATTCCTATTTTTTTTTTTTTTTACAATTGTAATGGAGAACTAACTTCCTTAGATTAATCTGCTGTAATCTGTTTCCGCCGACACTGTGAGGTTCCGTTAATTTCCAATAAAAACTATTTCCTTTCAATTCTTCTCTGTGATATCTTGTTTGCTTAATTCGATTTTTATTTCAATGATTTCATGTTCTTATGCTTTAATCGTGTTTGTTTAATTCGCGTATGTTCTCGTGTTTGTTTAATTCACGGTTACTGTATCCAATCCGTTTGCTTAATTCGGAAATTAAGAATATGTGTCGCGCTTGTTTGATTGTTATTATAATCAAGAAGGAGATAGAGTCCTCTTAGGAATTGGGGATTAATTAGGTCGATGATAAGTTGGGAAACCGAAACAGCAGATTAACTGTTTCAACTTATAATTTTAATCATTTTTTATTTTTAAACACCGCCCACCCCATATTTCATTACTTTAAATTGGTTAATTACTACAAGAATTCTTGCGATACGATACTCGAGTCATTGTCGCTAAACTACCGTTTTTCAAACTACTCGCTTTTGATCCGCGCGCGACAGCGGATCATATATAGATTTCTTCCTAAAGTTCATCATTAGGAAAATCATTATTGATATCTATCTGTTGGATCTCCCACTTACATGTGAGTGCTAGAGACAAGATAACTCTAATAGGATAACTCTAATAGTGGTAGATTTTAGAACAGGTGAGAAGGTTTTACGAAAAACAAATCCTTGTTGTTGGTGAAAGTCCTTAGCCACAAGTCTTACCTTATATTTTTTTATGCTCTCATCTGGATTTTCTTTTATCCTAAAAATCCACTTGCGTCTAATAGATTTTCTACTAAGAGGAAGGTTTGTAAGACTCCAAGTGCCATTTTGTATAAGTGAATTGTACTAAGCTTTCATTGCTTCAAGCCATTCAGGTTGTGTTAAGGCTTGTTTTATAGTGTTAGATTCTGAGTGGTCTAGGAAGGATTTAGGGTTGAATTTTCCAGTTTTAGATCTTGTTAGCATATGATGGTTATTGACAAGTAGATAAGTGTTAGGAGGTTGATTGGGAGAGAGAGAGAGAGAGAGAGAGAGAGAGAGAGAGAGAGAGAGAGAGAGAGAGAGAGAGAGAGAGAGAGAGAGAGAGAGAGAGAGAGAGAGAGAGAGAGAGAGAGAGAGAGAGAGAGAGAGAGAGAGAGAGAGAGAGAGAGAGTTTTAAACATCTTGAGATGGATTGAGAGCTTGAATGTTTGTACACCAAGGTAGGACATAGGTATTAGCAGATGTACTTGTGGTATTTGAGATCATTGGTAATGTTTGATGGTTCATATGTTGGCTCAACATGTAAACCCTGATTTTGTTCAAGTATATCAACATGTGTGATTGAACTCTATGGATTAGTACCAATATTTGTGTTGACGTAGGATGTAGCTTGAGTATGCCATGCAGACTGGGTTGGATTACACACAGTTAGAGGTAGGGTGGAACTTCTTTAAACTTTTGATGGATTAGCAAACTCAATTTGTGTGATGAATGATACAGCTTAAGATAAGGAAACATTGATTAAAATAAAGATTTTACCTTCATTGTTAAGCCATTTGTACGCTTTGTGTGTAGGTGAGACACTAAAAAAGACACATATTGAGAACTTCTAAATTGAATCTTATGTTGATTGTATGGTATTAAGAGTGGGAAGCAAGCACAACCAAAAAATTTGATTGACTTGTAATCTGGTGTCTTATTATAGAGGACATAGAAAGGTGAAGAGAACTTAAGAAAGGTAGTTGTAAGAAGCCTATTGATCAGGTATACATAGGCTGTGAAGTTATAATCCCAAAATTTGATCGGCAAAGATGCATGTGCAAGAAAAGTTAGACCCATTTCAACTATTTATATATGTTTTCTCTTAATTGTTCCATTTTGATGTGATGTATGAGGACAAGTTAACCTATGAACGAAGCTAAGATCATTGAGTTATTTGGTAAAAGGTATGAATTCCCCCATCCATCCACAATCCAATTGGATAACTTTGATTTTAACATTGAACTGAGTACCAACATAGTTTTGAAACAACTTGAAAGCAGGTAGGGCATCAGATTTCTGCTTGAGCAAATAAATCTAAATGTACTTGGTGAAAGCATTTACGAATGTAATAAAATAGGAATAGCCACTTATAGAAGGAGTAAGGAAGTACCCCAGAAGTGAGTATGAGCTAATTCAAATGGACAAACATATATAGTTTCAGACAATGGTGCATATAGTCTATGTGATT